CTCAGTACCTTGGTCTGGTGGTCTGGTGTCCTCTGCGTCTTTGTAGTGTGGAACCAGGTGGCTGCCTGTCTGCAGCAGGGTGATTCAGTGTCTTCTGCATGACTCAGGACCTCGGTAGGTGGTGCACAGACCTGCCTGACTGCAGCGGGCTGATTCAGTGTGTTCTGTGCAACTCAGGACCTTGGTAGGGCATGGGCAGACCTGCCTGTCTGCAGCGGGGTGATTCGGTGTCTTCTGCGCGACTCAGGACCTTGCTAGGGCGTGCCAAGTTTGGTGTTTTTGAAAATAAGTCTTTAATCATTTTTAAGAAATTTTTAGTTTATTTTAAAATTTGTAGTAATTTTATACTTACAGAAAAGTTGCATGAGTAGTACAAAAATATCCAATGTACTCTTTCTCTAGAGTTTATTATTGTTTAACTTTTACCCTATTTACTTTGTCCATTCTCTCTCTCTCTCTCTCTCTCTCTCTCTGTATATGCATATACATGTATTATTTTCTGAACCTTTTTTCTTTTTGAGATGGAATCTGGCTATGTGTCCCAGGCTGGCCTCAAACTCCTGGGTTCAAGTGATCCTCCTGCTTCTCCCTCCCAAGTAGCTGGGATGACAGGTGTATGCCACCATGCTCAGCATTTTTTCTGAACTTTAAAGAGTAAGTTTCATATATGCAAAGATAATAATATAATCTTACATAACCACAGAATTGCTACAGTTTTGAACTAGTTTTCTCCTTATCTAATTTAATAAGGAATAAATTTTAAAGTATGTCTCTAGGTCTCACCTTTCATTCAAGCTCCAGAACAGTATTTCAAGAACCTTCCAGATATTTCCAGCTTATTTTTCTATAAGCACTAACACTTCAAATTTACCATCCCCCAGACTTGGTAGATTGTCTTTGTTGGAATCTCCTTTGGAAAAGGGCCTGCAGCAGGGACTTGGGTGTAGGTGATTTGGGGCCAGGTAACCTAGGAAGCTAATCCAAAATCCCAAAATCCAAAGTGGTTGAAAGTCCAAAACTTTTAGAGTACTGACATCACTGATGTTTCTATGTAAATCAACTTTGTGCCCAAAATTATTTTAAAATATTGTATAAAATATTGTATAAGGTCCACAAAATTAATTTGTGTTTAGACTAGACAAGATAGCTCCTTGTGTACATGCAAATATTCCAAATCTGCAAAACTGAAATCAGAAATGGTCCTAGTCCCAAGTATTTTAGATATGGGATACTCAGTCCGTATTAAGGTAACTTTTAAAAATTTAGCTATTAGAAAATTTAAAGCTACATATAAGACTACATTACATTGGACAGTGATGCCCTAGATACTTGACTGTAAAACTTAGACAATAATAAAATTATGTTAGTTTTCCATCACTATGACACAATACCTGAGATAAAGGAAGCCAGGCATGGTGGCACACACTTATAATCCCAGCACTTTGGGAGACTGAGGCAGGAGGATCCCAAGTTCAAGAACAGACTGGGCAATTTTGTGAGTTAGTGAGACCCTGTTTCAAAATTTAAAATAAAAGGGCTAGAGATGCAGCTCAGTGCGAAGTCCCTTGATTCAGTCCCCAGTGCTAAAACAAACAAACAAACAAACAAAGGAGGAAGGTTTCTTCTGACTCACAGTTTCAGAGATATCTGTGCATGGTCACCTGGTTCCATCACTTCTGGCCCATGGGAAGGCGGATGTCATGGCAGGGAGCATGTTGTGGAGCAATGCAGCTTACCTGGTGGCAGACAGAGGATGGGTTCAAAGCAGAACATATCCTTCAAAGATGCACATCCAGTGACCTGCATCCTCCAGCAGAGCCCCACCCTCTAACCTCTGACCTCTTCCTCATGATGCCATTAGACTCACAATCCAATTGTTTCCCAAAGCCCCAGCTCTGAACATGGCTGCACTGGGGACCAAGGCTTCAACACATGAACTTTGGGGGACATTGCAGATCCGAACTGTAACAAAAATAATTCAGTAAGGGAGCAGGATACAAAATTAATGTGCAAAATGCAAAAATCAGTATTTTTCACATACACACAAAAAACTTTATTATATCTCTTTTAATGCCCATTTACAGAGGGCACAAATGAAAAAAAATGTGTGTGTGGGGGGGTACTCCGGGTTGAATTAGGGGCCTTCTCATGAGCTACAGTCCTAGCCCTTTTTTTATTCTTTATTTTGATACAGGGTTTGGCTAAGTCAGTAACTTCTCCAGGCTGGGTTCAAACTTGAGATTCTCCTGCTTCAGCCTCCCAGAGTGCTGGGATTATGGGTGTGTGCATACGTGCTTAGCTAAAAAAATATTTAAAATTAGACTTTATGGACCATGGTGGTACATACCTATAATTTCAGCACTAGGGAGCTGAGGCAGGAGGATCATGCTTGAGTTATAGATCTTGTCTCAAAAACAAAACAACAAATTCAATAAACTCCAAATGAATCAAGGATCAAAATGTAAAAAAGGAAACATATACAAGTACTAGAGGAAAATATGGGTGAATTCAAGTTTAACTTTATTGTAGGAAAGAGCTTCTTTGTATGACTCAAAAATCAATATGAAAAAATATTAATAATTTTCACTAACCTATTATAAGCAAATTCAAAGTTCAAATGACAAGTTACAAGAAATGAATGGGCTGGGGATGTAGCTCCATGGCAGAATACTTTCTTAGCTCATAGGAGGCCCTATATTCAATCCCTCGTATGGCAAAAGAAAGAGAGAGAGAAAGGGAAGAATGGAGGGAGGGAAGAGAGAAAAAGAGAGGAATAGGAAGAGAGAAGGAGAGAGAGAGGATGCAATATATCAATATATATCAGAGATAAAGGGCTAATGAAGAAATACATGAAAAAAACTTCACCATAAAGTAAAAAAATGCAATATGTGATCCCAGATGGAATCTTGTATTGGTGGGGAAAAAATGCTTTAAAACATTACTGAGATAATTGACAAAATAGAATGTAGATTGTAGGTTGGATAAAAGTATTAAAACTTCCTCAATTTGAGGATTGCCATCATGGTTATACAAGGTATATCCTTGTTCTTTGAGACAAACACTTAAGTATTTAGGGGTATGACATAAATGTTCCCGAAAAGATGCGCGTGTGTGTCTGTGTGTAATCCTCATAAATACTTTCAGGCCTATCAGTTCAGGCCTTTTGGATCACTGAACTTTTTCTGTTAAGGGGCTGACAGAAAATACTTTCTGCTTTATGGACCAGTTAGACTTGCTGGCAACTATTTAACTGTTTTCATAGCACAAAAGCAACCATAAAACATATATAGGGCTGGGGCTATAGCTCAGTGGTAGAGTAATTGCCTACCATGTGGAAGGTACTGGTTCAATCCCCAGCACGACCCCCCCCACACACATACAGAACATCATATATGAATGGCTGTGCACCAAGAAGCTTAAACAAAACCATAAAACAAGTCCAGGATTCATCCCCACTCCTCAAGTTCATGTTCTATTACTTTGAGAAGAAAAGAAGAACAGATACTGGGGAAACAGCAAGTTTTGCCACAAGTCATGGCACAGTGCCTGACATTTAAGCTATCACTAAACAGTAGGTACTGTTCCTTTTTTTCCAGTTATGAATAGACCTTTAAAAACTTTTTACTTTAAACACAGAAAAACTGCAAGACTAATATGAATAGCATACATATATCCTTTACATAGATTCTCCAAGTTTTAAACATTTGACCCCATTTGCTGTATTTTCTCACTCCCAGAATAAAAACTGTATTTTTTAATTTTGCGATTGGATGTGAGGATTTGACTATACACAAGCTAATAAGAAGTGAGCTGCAGTCAGATGGGTGACTTTGGAGGGACACACAGGGACACACCCGTCCCATTCACCCCTCTTGCAGACTGGAGAGAGAACATAAGGATGTGCTACCCCAGACCAGGTGGGAGAAGGCAATGCCAACATGATGGAAGAACAAAGGAGAAAGAGCCTGTGAGTCCCTGATTTGAGTGTTTCTACACAGACTGCTTGTTGAGAATGAAAACAAAAAATTATCAAATGCAATTCATTAACATTTTAATTTCTATTAAAGCATTCAAGCTCTATGATAAGTAATACTTTACTTCATAAGCATTATCCATATTCCATGGTGGTAAAGAACATGAATTCTAAATCTAGACTGTCTGTATACACAGAAATCACGTCCCAGCTGTGTGACTTTAGGGAAGTTATTCAATGTCCCTGCCCCTCAGCTCTCTCAGTTTTGAAATGAGCACCTAACTCATTTTGATGGTTAAACAGTTTACTCTGCCATAAACAAGGATAAACTGGAGTCATTGGTAGGAAAATGGATGCACCTTGAGACCATAATGTTAAGTGAAATAGATCAGACACACAAGCTTAAATATTGCCTGGTTTCTCTTAAATGAGAAACTCAAAATATTAATAAAGAGCAAAATAAAAGACAGATAATAGGAAACAGAGGGATAGATCTTTCTCAAATGGGAGGGGACCAAAAGATGAAAGCGGGGAGAAAGAAGGAAGGAGAAGGGGATGAAAAAGAATTGAGACGTGACATGTCCATGTACCAACTCCCTACAAGGAATATAATTATGTGCTCCAAACATGTACTAATAAAAATAAAAATTCAAAAAAATAAAAGCACAAATGTATAAAAATTAAAGATTTGATATATATGTGAAATGTTTCAAGCACAGCTCTGCATACTGCAAGCACTACATAAACATTAACTAAGGCTGAGAATGTAGCCCAGTGGTACAGCAATCAACAACCCAGCAACCCAAAACAAAACAAAACATAAGCCCTCTAAGTGTTAACTGTTTTTCTCCTGATTGAAACCTGAGAAGGAGATATATTTTATAGACGAGAAACCTGAGTCTCAGAAATGCTAACTTGTCCAAGAGTATGTAATTAGTGGAGCTGTGGTTCTCCACCTACATCTTACCCCAAAGTCTACATTTCTAGCCTCTATGAAACATTGCTTTGACTATAATCTCAAAAAGCAACTTTTTTTGTTCATTCAAAAAGGGTTTGATCTCCAACAAACCATATATAACTATACATAAGACAAGAGGTAGGGATGGCCTAGACTCAGTAGAAATAGAAGCTCCATGCTTAGGGTTTTTAAAGGTGCTAACCCAGCCCTATAAGGCTTCAGAAATAATATAATGTGGTAGATGTCTCTTTTTGTGTAATAGTTTTTATGTAATGGGATAACAAGTGATTTAACTCAGGCACCATGTAGTTGCTTTACAAGTTTTCGGGGTGTTGGAGTCTTCTTCTGGAGGTGTTTTCAAGGTTCTTTCTGTCCTGAGCAAAGAATTGGTCAAGACATGTGCAAATGTTTTATTAAAGGTGGGAGAAGAAATGGGCTCTGCAGAGTGACTTTGGGCCAAGTAAAAGTAGGAAAAGTAGTACACCCTACAGCATGAGGGTGGGTCACTGTTTGAGGGGGAACACAGTGGCAAAAACTCAATGTGGACTGTCCTTTTTGGATTTCTCACTTCTCAAACTGATGTCAGGTCTAGATCAACCTATGGAAAACCTGCTCAAGTTTTCACAAGAAGTCCATCTACAGGGCTTTGTGAACTGTCCTGCATATGTGTTCTGGGATCTTGTCACACTTTCCCAGCCAGTTTTAGCTATGCCCTACCTTTCCGTCTCATTTCCCCCTGAGAGACATATATGCCCATAATTCTTTATGAGGTTCTGAGGGTGTGGATGTCTCTGTCTTCTATAGTCATAGGGAGACTCTACCTCCTGGGGATTTCATGCTTTCCAAATACCTTGTGGTATTGTAGCTCACTGGCTGGGTTGTAGAGAAAAACTATTGGAAGGCAATAAGAAAAGAATTAGTAACCACTGAACTGCCTGTCAGCCTTCTGGTTTCCCAAGGAGATTTTTTTTTTTTTTTGGTACCGGGGATCGAATTCAGGTCCTTGCACTTGCAGGGCAGGCAGTGTTCCCAATGAGATTTTCAACATGTCTCTTTGAGATCCCTTACAATAAATATCAGCAATTTGCTGGGGAAGGTAGACTATCTCTAAGAGTTGTAGATTTTCTTGCTTGTATTTTATAGATGATTGCTTATTAGTGAGGAAACTCCTTCTTTACAGATTGCTGCACGGGCACATAGCACCAGAAAGGCATATTTGGAGTTTGTATAGCTATATAGCCTCTTGCCTTTTCCTAATATAAATGCCTGAGTAAGAGCTATGAGCTTGAGTTTTTGATCAGAGGGCCCTGGAGGAAGTTGGCCTCAATGACCTGTTGTGACAGCTACATAACCTGCCTTTTAATGTCCTTCTTGGACAAAGCTACTTTCATCAGTGAACCACATCTCTTTAGGATCTTGGAAAGGAAGGTCACTGATGTCCTACCTCCTTGAATACATCTGGGAGATCACTTGTTCAAGAGTGGCTAACTTCTGGGCCTGTAGGAACCAGAGAGGCAGGATTAAGAGGAGTGTAAGTTTTTACAATAACCCTGGGGGTGTCTAAGAACATGGCCTGATACTTGGTAAACTGTTCTATTGTTACCTCCAGGTAACCTTTGGTCTCCATAATCACTCTGACCTGATGGAGACTTAAGACTTGTAGTTTCTGTCCTAACCTGGAGGCTGGAGAAGGAAAGGAATGGAAAGGCACAGTTCAGATCCAAAGTGCTCTTTGCTTCTTTGAGTCCCCTTTTTCTCTTTTATGAGGGAGACTGCAGGTGTCCTGCTTACCTTCAGGGCAGGAG